CCCAAAATATGTTGGGGTCGTGGGTGACTCCCTCCCCCTCCATTGTTTCCTCTCTTGTACCTCCTGCGATCCATCTCTGGAAACGCCACTTACTAGCTTCTTGCCCATAAAATACATGATTTTAATTACCTGTGAAGTTACCGCTCCGAGCAAGAGAACCATGGAAGTCTCTGTCATCTAAAAGTGTCGTTGGTGCTGTTGGGGACAATGTAGAAGGTTGAGTTTCATAAATTATGATTGCGGTTTCTACGTCGCTGAAGAATAGTTATAATCATTTTTAAAAAGATGAAATGCCAGGAAAGACATTGGCAAATCGAGGGCAAAGCAAAGTATTATGTTAACATTGAACACAAAACAATACTCCCTTTAAGGCCCCGGCAGCAATTTTATGCCTCAATGGCTCTTGGATTAGAGTATTTTTGTCTTTCAAGAAAGTAAGTAACATAATAATAATAATAATAATAATAATAATCTTTAAAGTCCACTGGATCGGGCACTTGAAGAAGTACTTCTCTCCATTCAATATTTCATTTAAAGTAAATTGATTGCTATACATCTAGCTCTTGAACGGGTAAATCTGTTGATTTATCCGACATATCTGATTCTGTATTTACCGAGAACGCTGCAAACATCGTGCTGTCTTCTGATTCTTATTCCCCACCCTTTGTGAATCCACGGTGCTAGATTGCGCTCAGACGCGATCATCGAGTCACTTCTTTGACATCGGAGTCGAAAGAATCTTGTTAACGCATCCTCAGGTCTTTCTTGACATGACTGGGCATGTACACCTGTGTGAGAGGAGAGAGAGAGAGAGAGAGAGAGAGAGAGAGAATTTTAAATAGAATGCACGGTGAAATGAGTAGAATATCTTGCATCCGCCACATGACTTTGATTTCAAACGTGCAAAGTGGATATTAATGGCAATTACACTGTACCTAGAACTTTTTACATGTATATCAATGCATTTTACACATAAACAAAAATGGGGGGGGGGGGGGGGAGGCTCTGAAAACATAAAACATAATGTTCTGATTAACAGCGGTTAAGAGACTATTTGCACTCCGAAATCAAACAATAACGAGTTATTCCAATGAATGCAAGTCAGGCAAAATGCTTCAATTTTTCTATCCTGAATGATAAATCTTTAACTGTTTTAAGTCACTCCATCTTGAGATTGTGTTTGTGTATGATTGTTAGAGATTTCGCGCAAACAGGATCACGTGTTACCCTCTGAACATGAAGTGACAAATCGGTCTTTCTGCTTGTTTTAAGATATTTTCGGCAATTTGGGGGCAAAATTTAGTTCAACACTTCAATACAAAAGGTTATTATTGTAAGGATTTCTATTAATATATAGTAATATCAAAACAACAGAGGTAAAAACCGATCGATATTCAGCAGTCAATAAAACTAAGAAAGAAAAAAATATATTTTAGACCTACCTGGTAGACCAGTTCCATTTATCACAGTAAGCACGATTGGGTAGTAGATCTTATCCAGAAAACAGAAACAAGAACTCAACATTGCATAATGACAAGATAATATTCCGAACCCAAACAATACATTGCCCCAGAAGCCAGTCATAATTATCATTATTTAATTTAAATTGTGCTTTTATATTTGTTTCCATTGATTGAGATTGTAATGTATAATCATTGTATTTTACTTCCTATAGATCCATCCCGCATGCCGTTACTACTCAAATTAGGGATATAGGCTTAACTTAGACAAAACTATAATTTAAAATCTAGATTTTCGGGGAGAGGCAATGTAGGGAAATCGTATACAGAGCCGTGAGTTATACAAATACTGGATAAATAGATAAATACATCCTGAAACATTTAGTCAATTAACATGAATTTTTAAAGGTTATGATGATAAAAACGGATTTCTTCATCATACATTAAATTAAATACAAAAAGACGCTGATATTTCAATTAATTGACTAAACAAGAAGACCTCCCTTTTATCTCCTTGAAATAACATTATGCCAAAAATATCGGTTGTTAGAGAACTTTTCCGATGACAATATTGTTTCACAGTCAATATCCTACACTGACCGAATTCCTAACTTCAACTCTAGACCAAAAGTGATATCTTACCCTTATCCTATCCTAACCTTTAACCCGAATGCAACCCTTACCCTAGCCCTATATCTCGGACGCATTCAATCCCGGATCAAATGTCGCCAGATCTCCGATCGCTGAAATACACAATATTACGCGTGAAAATACTTACAGTGAAGAGACACATCCTGACTTCAATGATTAAGAATACCGAGTGAAGCACTAGTAGAATAAAAATATTAATCGACAAATTCTGAGAGAGTGTGTCTGTGTGTGGGGTTGTGTCGGCGTGTGCGAGAGACGCCAGCATAATCTGGGTGTTACAAAAATATATAAATTAAAAAGGTTATACTAAGCAGTTTTGTTTATCTTGTTCCCATAAAAAAATTTATGTTCACTTAGGCTTTTTTCATTTAATTGAATTGTTCAATTTACTGGAAAGGCATTACATTTTAATGTGCAATAGTTCAGGGACCAATTCCAGAAACCGGGGTAATAAGACAATTTATGGAACCAATCAAGACTGTTTTTATGTTCCCATAGAAATAAGAGCTCTCCTCTTTTGAAACGCTCGTTTCATTTTGATCCATAAAGTACAAAACAAGGAGCGTGCAACATGCTGGCTCCATCTAGTGCTGAATTCGTCACTGGCATTAAACTTGACTTGATAAATCAAATCAAGTGTAATCGATCTGGATGCTACAAACGGTATCTGAGGTATTACCAGCAGTTTGGTCTTCCTAACAATTCAATAAGTAATGTGGTATCAGCATATCTGAGATTTGAAATGTTTTGGCCACCAAATTATTGCCATAGTGCGCAACTCAGCTTCACTCATCCCACTTTCTGTGTATATGACAGAGAGGCTAACAGGCTAGAGCGTCATAAAAAAAAGGAAAATAGACAATATATCGCGCTATTCGTGATAATGAAAAACACATAGCCTATGTATATCATATCAATGGGGGTGTTACCGTTTCCATAACAATTACTATCATTGGAACAAGTTACGACTGTTTTCAAATTCATGTTCCCAAATAAGAGCTCTCCTCTTTTGAAACGTTGTTTCATTTTGATCCATAAAGTGCAAAACAAGGGGCGTGCAACATTTGCTGGCTCCATCTAGTGCTGAATTTGTCACTGACATGAAACGACGTTTCAAAAGAGGAGAGCTCTTATTTCTATGGGACATGAAAACAGCCGTAACTTGTTCCAATGAATTTCTTATTACCCAGTCTCTGGAATTGGTTCCTGAACTTTTGCACAATAAAATGTAATGGCTTTCAAGTAAATGGAAAAATTCAATTAAACGGATAATAATAAATGAGTTCTTGTTCAAGACCGCAAATGCCTTTAAAGTGCACGGTTATTGCTCTTATTCTTATTTATGACATTTCATTTTTCAACGGCTCAGTGGTTCAAAATTACCAAATATTTGTGTGGCACCACAAATATTAGAAATGGTTATATTTATGGATATTTCAGTCGTCTCTGAACCGATTTTGATCAAACAAAGATGATTTTGTCATTTAAATTGTATATTCACTCAGTTTTTCATTATCTCACACAACATTATCTTGTGTAGCGCCCTCTGCAACAAAACTCATCTATCCCTGTAAGTGAAAATAAGGTCAAGTAAAATATAAATATTGCTTGGTATAACCTTTTTTTTTTATATTAAAAAAAAAAAACCCGATTATGCTGGCATCTCAAACACACATTCGCACACGCCCACACAAAAACGCATGCACACACACGCGCGCGCACGCACACCACCCACGCACACACACACACACGCACACACACCCACACACACACCCACACGCGCACACACGCACACATACATGCACGCACATGCCAAATTTGACAACCATAAAGTAAAAGAATTGTATGAGGCGCCGTTTGTAAAACAATTATATAGACAAATTATATGTTATATAATCATTATTTAACAAATAATAACCATTATTTACATATAATGCAAGAAAATGTACATTTTTATTTGTATATAATTCTTAACACATTTTTATTATTTATAAATAATTAAAATTCATACTTCATTATTTATAAATAATGACAAAGTACGTTTCATTATTTATAAATAATTACAATTCACACTTTCATTATTTATATATAATGAAAAGCGTATTTCCATTATTTATATATAATTGCCATTATTTATAAATAATTACAATTCACACTTTCATTATTAATATATAATGAAAAGTGTATTTCCATTATATAATATATAATGAAAAGCACATTTCCATTATATAATATATAATGAAAAGCCATTTCAATTATATAATATATAATGAAAAGCGTATTTCCATTATATAATATATAATGAAAAGCCCATTTCCATTATATAATATATAATGAAAAGCGTATTTCCATTATATAATATATAATGAAAAGCACATTTCAATTATATAATATATAATGAAAGGCGTATTTCCATTATATAATATATAATGAAAGGCGTATTTCAATTATATAATATATAATGAAAGGCGTATTTCCATTATATAATATATAATGAAAAGTACATTTCCATTATATAATATATAATGAAAAGCGCATTTCCATTATTTAATATATAATGAAAAGCGCATTTCCATTATATATTAAATAATGATTGTGTATGCAAATGTCAATGGTTGGTAACGCCCATAATATGAATATTCATGAGCTTGACTGCCCATATTATCCTCTATTCCAGGCACCTTTCCATTTGTGTTCTTTGTGTATTCTTATCAGAAATCCTACGTGCGGTAAATAAGTCTCTGTATCACTATTCTCCTTCTTATTTGAATGCAAATTTGGGTATAATGATTGATAACTGTAATCATCCTCAATTTTTTTTCCTCATTATTTTAATAAGAAATTTTCTATCTGTGATGAAAGTTTTTTATGTACGATTGCCTGATCTGAAGAAAAGACTTTCGCTGCATGCATATTTAATGTATGACGTCACCCACACAGAGTGAGAGTTCGAGGTTTTCTTTGAAAGTTTGATGGTGAGTACAGCTGTAATTACGTTCAAATCTCGTAAATTGAATCATATTTATAAACATATCTAACGATAATATGAATCTGCAGATTTGACTGTACATTATGAAGTGGTTTAAAATGGTTATATCTGATGAATTTAGGAGTAATCTACACTCGAACTTTTGATTTGTTTTTATCGTCGTGAGAAATATTTCAGCTCGATTGCCAGTCACTCCTTGATCCTTGGGCCAAACTTTCGGGCGAGACCCTCTCTGAAAATTAGATACGCGAGTATAGGTTCTACAGGCAGCTGGCAGATCACTTCACTGCATGGTGCTAGCTGCATCAATGATCCAAGCTTTTTGTTACTTTTAGGTCCAACTGTTGAATTACTACTTTCATAGTTGGATCAGAAGAAAGTTAATAGCTAACACTAAAAAGCATGGTCACAGTTGACATGAGACGAGTTGTGAACAAGCGCCAAATTTGAACCAGATATACCGAGATAGACCTCTAGACGAGTACGAAAGTAAAAATTTGAGGCCTAGGCCTACAGACCAGTAAATAATTGGAATACCTGTGAACAGGCGCGGATCCAGGATTTCTTAGGGGGGGGGCCCAAATTTGAAATTATGCAAACCAAATATTGGTACGTGATAGTGACACCGGCTGGCGAAATGAGCTAAAACGGGGGGGGTAGACATAAAAATCTGCACCACCCCACTCTTACATGCAGGCCCCGCTAAACGTTTCTCTAAGTAGGTGGGGGGGGGGGGGGAGGTATTTATGATCAGGTAGAGCGTTGTGAAATAGGCGTGGTGTCTAAGGGCGAAGAACCTGCGGGGGTCAAGGGGTGGAACCCCCAGAAGCTCAGGGGTATAGGCATTTAATTACGGTCAGATGAGCATATAAAGGCAACGACCTTTGCCACGACCCCCCCCCCCCCCCCCGAACTACAACTTGTTGGCGGGAAAATTGCAACTGATATCCCCCTTCTTTTCTTCTTCCTCTTTTTTCCTTCCCTTTATCCCCTCTTAATTTTTTTCTTTCCCTTTCCTTCCTTCTCTTTTATTTTTTGATGGGGGAGGGGGAGAGGTTACAGCTCAGCTCTTTTTTTCTTTTTTTTGCGGGGGGGGGGGGGGGGGGGGGGGGGGGGGGGGGGGGAGGGCAAGGCCCGCTCGGCCCCCCTGAGATCCGTGCCTGCCTGTGAATGTGATACTCGTAGTCGTACAGAGTCTTATAGCTATCTAACAAATTAAAACACGATCCCCCCAAATTATTCAGTCTAGACTACATCGTATACAGGGGTACGTATAGTGGTGCGATTCCGGGCTAACTCGCCCCACGGGACATCTCGCCCCAGCCTCAAAAACTGGGGCGAGATGTCCCGACATGATTCATCGATTGAGACATACCATGCTCATTGTGACTTAATACTGCCATTTCCAACCACAATCTGTAATGGAATTGTGTTAAATGATACTATTGAAGACAATCTTTAACTTCTCTTTAGGTAAAATGACAAAAAAATGGCATTTCGGACAATTTACTCAAAACACTGCTCAAATTTCAGTGGTTCGTGTCGATACAACACACATTTAATGTACGTGCGGCAATGTGAATTGCGAGCTGTGAGTAAATTGTTGGAAATGGCATTATTAAGTCACAATGAGCACAATTGCATTGCATTGGTATCTCTCGATCGATGAATCATGTCGGGACATCTCGCCCCAGTCTTTGAGGCAGGGGCGAGATGTCCCGTGGGGCGAGTTAGCCCGACTCCACTGGTGCCTGTGTGTTTTTCTTAAACTCTTTGTTGGCTTAGCCTAATTTGCCTCTACTCTAGGCTCTATCTTTGAATTTTTGTTTGCTGTAAACACGATTAAGTTTGCTCTGTCATATATAATTCTAGGTCCATATCTATTTTGCGTTTTTTTAATTTGATAGAATGAACAGTTACGAGACATGGATCTAGATCATCTAGAGACTGTAGATCAACTAGATCTGGATCAAGAAATTGAATATAAATTTCAATGTTAGATAATGAAGGAGGGCTTTTTTGGTAAAGAGAAAATCCAAATTAAAATAAAACAGTTAATTCTGCAAATGCTCATCAATGTTTAAATGATCATGCTCATTTCCTTTTATTCTAAGAATTAAATCCCCCCCCCCCCCTCTTTTACAGGAGAATGTACAGAGACTTGTCGCAGTTAATGCAGTACCAAATGCTTGCTTTCTTGGAGTATGTGCTTGAAACAAGAATGTCCTGGAGAAAACAGACCACCACAAGAGAAGGTAAACATATTTACTTTTGATCTAACTTGATCTGTTTAGTTTTTTCAAGTAAAACGAAATTTTGAAATAGGTGAGGTCAAGGTCAAGGTCAAGCTGAAGGTGATGCAAAGGGCTGGTTTGAGAAGTATGTATTCATGGGATGGCTATGTATGAATCCACATGTCTACTAACACGTTGCTGAAGTGTTTCTCTTTTCAGGATTAACATTTTAAGCTCATGTGCAGGGGGAAGGGGGGGGGGGTCCAATACATGAAAAGGAACGACAAGCGAAACAAAATAAAAAATTGACCTTCAAATTTTGCTGAAAAACTAAACGTTGAAGACAACTGAAATATTAAATAGTGCTATTTATTTTTTCAAATTTGGTTAATATATTGCATTGTTTATAATTCTGTTCCAGGGATTGAAAAGGAGGGCTTCCTGTTGAGAGATCATGGGGTGCCTTGAGGTTCCAGTCTTGATGTTCTGCCCCTTACCTCAAAGCGATGGCCTCTTGTGCCTGACATATTAGGAGCAAAGCACAATGGACTGGTAATTCATAATGAATATTACAATGTTTTTTTTTAATCTGGTAAAGAAACAGAGAAATTCATAGCAAGTGAGCCTGTCCAGTGTCATGGCATTTCGAGTGACCCAACATTTGCTCCTGCAACGACTGCTCAAGGCTTTATTTGTCAAATGTGTAGGGTTAGGCCGAGGGTTGCAATTGGGATTGAGGTTAAGGTTAGGTCTAGTATTGGATCCAGGGATGAAGTTAAGTATTTGGATAATAGTGTAGGAAATTGATGTTGAGCAAATGTCTTGAGGAACAAGTGTCGTACAATCAGATTTTCCAGGTGCTGTTGGAGCTGTATGTATTGATACTCATCATTGGCAGTTTAAAAAACTTCCTTTGTATTAGTAAACTAAAATATGCTGACCCCCAGTTTGCGAAACGTGTACCTGATTTTTACGACATGCTCTATTGTTTAGTGGTTATGTTGTAACACGAAATGAATTCTTAATCTTAATCCTGGATCCATAGCTAAACGTAATATTAACCCTAAAAGCTAATCTAAAACCCTATCACAACTTGAGCAATAACCATATATCGTGACGAAATAAAGCTTGTGCTAAGCATTGGCAGACCCAAAGTCAGGTTATCCTAAATTCCTTTCTACATACTGCTATTGTATAAAGTTGATATTTAAGTACCGGTACATCCCATTGCAAGTTCTAAAATTTCTGTAAAAACCTTACCCTGCTGCAAGATGATAGTGTGTGAAGTAAGTTGGCTCATAGTAGAGCATGAATTATTACCTGCAACTCTCAACCAATACACCCTTGCCACCTGCAATCCATCTCAGTTTCACAATATATTCTTTAAACAACATTAACTGAAGTTCAAAATTTTGATTAGTGATTAAGAAAGGCTACAAATAATTGTATTTTTTTTTCACACTCGTATAATAGAGGGGGAGGGGGGGGGGGCAGCCTAGCAGTACAAGATCTAATTATCTTATATGACTATATCCTGTTGTCCTGGGGGTAGATATCCCAGAACCTGCAAGTGTGATGAACAAAAATATGTTTGTGTACTAAAAGTGAAACAAAAACAAATCACTGGAAACTTTTGGTTGTTAATAACTCAAAAGTTACACTCAAATCAAAATGAGGTTTTCACAGCTTAAAGTTTAAGGATGTAAATTCTATGACATTTCTATGAATGCTACTTGCTATTCTTAAAGCCCCACTGTCCTACTTGTAGCTACTTGCTCTCTCTATATAGAAAACTTCCCCAATTGGTGCCTGTTGGTCCCCATGATCCTCTCTTTCTTATGTTAGTTGAGAGCTGAGTTGATGAGATAGCCACCTGTCAGTGACCTGGCTGGTGGTCTAATCCCTTCTGGCCCAGTAGTATTGACGGTCTTCAAAACAATGGTCGGAATATTTGATTAGATCTTTTACTCAGACATGTAGTATATTAGTATTAAAATACATGTTTGGCAATATGGTATTTCATTTCAGACCATAATGAGAAGTAATATTTAAATCTGGGATCTCTTGTTGGCACGGAAAATAAGGAATATACTCCTGTCGAGCAAACAGTGAATTTATATAAAAACTAATAGCCCTTTGAAGATTACTAGAAGAAGAAAAACAACAAGAAGAAGAAAAAGAAATATACTTGTGATGTGAGCTTTAGATCTTAAAGTGCTTGTAACAATATTGATTTTTTTTTCTTCTTTCAATTAACATTTTATTCATGAACAGCTGGCTTATTGGAATTGGTTACAAAGATGCAAGTGGACTTGTCTGTATAGTTGCTGAAGAGGAGCAGTCAGCATAAGGAGTGTGTGCCTCCAAAACAATGTGGGAACTTCTCCCAAGTTCATCTCAAATCACAAGGCTCTTCAGGAATCAAGATGTAACAATGGAGGTTGAGAAGGAGTTTGCGACCCTCCTGATTTGGACTACTCGCTATATACATTCTCAATCAATGGATTGTAGCACTTCTGCACAAAACTCAACAAGTCATGATTGAGAAAAACGCAACAAATACTTGGTTAAGCATTGATTTATGTGACTGGTATTAGGGTAGGTTTCAGCTTGGTAATTTTATATTAACTATGTCCCAAAAGAACCTCATTGGTCCCTATGGTTCCACGCCACAAGCTGCTCCCTCCCCTGTTTCGGTATACCGTACCCAGACTATCAAGGGATCAAATGAATTAAAATCCACACTTGATTACAAATGAATTGATCTTTTAAATATTGTCATCATTTCAGGGTGGTTTGGGTAAGGGGTTAGTGTGAGCTTTCTGTGCGTAAAATTGAGGGTACTTTGTGCGGAGATCAGTGGATGGATATTTCATGTACAATGCAAGAGAGGTGTCTATCTTCATTGGAATTCAGGATGTGAATTCCAATGAAGATGGCTTGTTTATAAGGAGAGAAGCAAGATAGATTGATGTAAACTTAATGACATCAGGGAATGTTTGCCTGTATTGTTTGAATGACACGGATATTGAATAACGTGAAGTTAAGTGAAAAGAATGGCATAATATATTCAATTTGTACACCATCCCATTGAATTTTTTTTAGACAGCATTTGTGCACAGGTCTATGGAAAACCAGTAGGTGGCATATACAATAAGATCATTTACCGCAGCTCAAGGAGTACCGTAGATATCACTTACCGCAGTTGCTGCTATTTGTGCTCACATGCATATTAATATCAAGCAGTTGAAGCTAAAACTAATATAATCTAATTAACAGGTTTTTTTCTTCAAATTATCATAACAAGAGAGAAAAACATACTTTTATAATAACTTCCATTATTATTATTTGATCCACGAGACCGAGTAGTCCAGCCCTCGTGAGTCTGTATGTTCTCCAGATTTCATTGTCAGGGCCTATCAGGGGGCGGATCTAGCTTTTTGCTAATGGGGGGGGGGGGGGCGTTGACCCTATGACGATGCAGAGCATCGCCCACGAGCCGCATTGCGGCGAGGCAATTAACGCATTTATAAGATGGATTTTCTTTTTTTTCTCTCTCTCGCTATCTCACTGCATTATAAATTTCTCATTTTCACGCCGACATCAACATCTCTCACCATTAAACAGTTCTCTCATTTCCTTTCCTTTTTCTTTTGCTCTCTCTCTCTCTCTCTCTGAACTCTCGCGTTCTGTTTCCAGATTTTTTCCACATATGATTCCATTTATCCAACCATATATGCACACTAAAAAGAAAAGAAATGAAGGGAATACTGTATATAAGATAATAAACATGTTTAATTTATTCATTTTCTTACAACAAACTAATATGTTTACAGATTATAACATTGACGGTCAAATATTAAACACAAATGACCTCATCTGCTACTTCCATTTGTAGATTACTTTATTCTTTAAAAAAATCAACAAAGCATACTTATGCTAAATCTGAGCACTATTTTTTATTATAAAACACATTATAACAACATGCTGATTTCTTTAAAAAAAAAAAAATTACCTATGACTCAATGATTACAATTTTTTCCAGAGAAACAATAATACTGTACGATAGTATACAACATCCTTTAGTGTGATGGTTGCTCCGTGGTCCACACAAGCACCAAGGTATATTAGACCTTTTATGAACAGTTGCTTGTTTTATACAATATATAAATCATACTCATAGGCCCATTCCCAAATGTTATAATTATTATCAATAAACAGAAATTGATAAAAGATGACCCCTCCCCAAAACTTTTATATTCCAAAAGTTTGATCTTGGCTGACAGGTGGTAACTTGAGTACTTGACTACATCTTATTTGCCCTATACACGCATACTTAAAATGGATGCCTTGGCAAAGCCTCAGTTTTATAAATGATTGCTTGACTTAGACTGCCGATGAACATATTTCTTGTGTATTTATCTGCACCATTAACTTTTCTCCACATCGTGCTGTCAGATTGAGATGCTTTGGTGTGATATACTTAATGTTTTACATCATGTTTTTAATGAACTCCTACCTTGCTAGTTATGCAGACATTAGGCACTTTTTTTAAAGCTTGCGATAGCAGTGGAAAGGATGTGCATAAAAGAAGAGGCGGGATATCCATACTACTACCATGTACTACTACAACATGGGTAAAATTGCATCATTGTATTATACCTTGGTTCCTGGTTACCTCTCCTTGGTAGTTTGAAAACTATGTTTCAGTACCGGTAATCATTGTAATAGTGTTTCTGTTTCATGGTGTCACTGGTGTGGTTGTGTGTATGAAGGCCAAATTTTCTATTTTCCTGCTTCGCCTGTCCACAATCACTAAACAATTTAAGCTTAAATACAGGGCCTAATATACAAGGTGATTACAAAATTAAACATACTGCTTGCTAGGTGAAGTTACACGTACTGCTTGAAGAGAATTGTGAATATTTATCTATTGGGAGTTTGACCAAATCCAGTTTAAAAAATTTCAGCTTTGGGGGGCACATTACCCCTCACCCCCCCCCCCCCCCCCCCCCCCCCCCCCCCCCCCCCCCCCGTGCGCGCAATTGACTGATGTGTCCCCCCAGGAGTGGCGGAGCGTCTTCCAAAGTGTGGGGGGGGGACCAACAAAATAGGCAATTTCTGGAAAAAAAGGGTACCTACAAAGGGAATCTCAAAGCGAAAATATCCATTTTTTTAGACAATGGTATATACCCCTACATTGTGATTACATTATCAGGGACGATTTCAACATTTGTTTCTCTTTATACACCATACAAGATATTGCTTAAGTATCAGTTCGATGTGATGGTCTGAAAATTGATTTGCGAGCGAGGGCAATTTTAAGTTTTGTGAGGTCGCAGTACAAAAAATTGCATCTTATTAAGAGGGAAAAACCCAATCCTGATGGGATTATAAGCACATTCTCACAATGGAAGACTGAAAAGACCTTTGATAAGTAACGTTATTATGTCATCTATAAATGCGAGCGAGCTTTGGGGGAAGTTACTCTTAGTCGCTTGAAATTAGGGGCGCGTTTAATGATGAGAGGAAATGGGGATACTAAAGGGATAAGAGGAAAAAGAGCATGTGTCATGTAAAAAGGGTAATTATCAGAGGTGAAAATGGGGCACTTCTTGGACCGACAGAAAGATGCACTCACCAGGAATGAAACAAGGCACTTATGAGAATGGGAAATGGCATTTTTCAACGGAATAGGGGCACCCATCAGATTTTGATAGGGGCATTTATGAAAAGGGGATAGGTCCCTTTGGTATTGGAAAGGAAAAGAGGCATGTATCATTGTTAAAAGGGAATTTATCAAAAGGTGAAAAGAGCTACTAGTCTTATTGCGCCTGAAAAGGGGCACTGACCAGATAATAGATATGAAAAGGGGCACTTAAAAAAAAGGAAAAAGTGCAATAGTTTTAAAACAAGGGAAACGCTCTCGGCGGTCTCGCCTGCATTATGCAATTCGAAATGATAAACCAGAACGTAAATGACGTAGCGCTCATCCGCATCTCGCAACAACAAATTTGTAAATTTTATTTGGTATACTTTTGAACTAGTCAAAAAATAAAAATTTGATGCCCTGGAAGGAACATGATTTCATTTCATTTGCATAAAGTACCAGAAATAATTAATGGAGCAAAATCTCAAAATTCTGTGTAGAAGTTTAGTGTACCAAAGTTAGCTCCACGATATAAAGCAAACCAAATCAAAATCGGTCGAGAAATGAGGGAGAAGAAGCAATTTTTGTTATTTTTGGAATAAATTTGCATAAATTACCATAATTAATTAATGGAGAATAATTTCAAAATTCGGTGTTTAGTGTACCAAAGTTAGCTCTACCAGATAAAGCAAACCAAATCAAAATCGGTCAAGAAATGAAGGAGAAGAAGCATTTTTTGTGATTTCGAATAAATTAGCATAAATTATAGATTATGAATTTCACGATTCTGTGTAGAAGTTTTAAATCTCCCTCCTAGCCCTATCATATGAAACAATCAGAAACAAAATCGGTTGAAAAATAACGTAGAAGCATTTTGAAACTCTTGATGTTGATGCCACAACAAAGTCTAAGTTTGTTGACCTTAAATGACCTTTGACCTTAACTTAGTGACCTGAAATTCTACTCACATGTTTGGGGAGACTTGATAACCCTAAAGTCCATGTTTCATTGACTAAGAACTTATACTTTCAAAATTATATCCAAAATTCAAAAACTTAACCTTAGGTTAAGTTTTCGATGATGATGCTACAACATAGTCCAAGTCTGTTGACCTGAAATGACCTTCGATCTTGACTTTGTGATCTGAAATTCTACTCACATGATTGGGGATACTTGATTACTCAATAGTCAAAGTTTCATTGACTAAGAACCTATACTTTAAAAATTATATCAAAAATTCAAAAACTTAACCTTAGGTTAAGTTTTTGATGTTGACGCCGCCGTTGCCGCCGTCACCGGAAAAGCGGCGCCTATGTCTCGCTTTTTGCTACGCAGGCGAGACAAAAACTTAAACTTTGAAAATTATATCAAAAATTCAAAAACTTAACCTTAGGTTAAGTTTTTGATGTTGACGCCGTCGCCGCCACCGTCACCGGAAAAGCGGCGCCTATGTCTCGCTTTTTGCTCGTAGGCGAGACAAAAAGGGAGGTGCAGATCAGATTTTAATAGGGGCATTTATTGGAGGTGAAAGGGGGCTATTATGAGAATGAGGAAGTGGCTCTTATTAAAAAAAAAAAAGAGGCACATGTTAAAGTAAACAAGGCACTCATCAGAGATGAAAGGGGGTAATTATGAGAAGGGTAAGGGGCACTTATAATCAGAAAAAAGAGCATTTATTAGGAAGGAAAAGGGGACGTGTCAAATAAAAGTGGCAGTTATTAGAGACAAAATGGGACACTCATCAGAGATGAAAAGAGCACTGATCAGGAAAGGGAGGGGCACTTATCAAAGTAAAATGAGTATCTCTCAGATTTGAATAGGGGCGAATATCGGAGATGAAGGGGGCACTTATCAAAAGTGAAAAGGGGCATTTCACGTAGTTGAAAAGGGGCACTTACTAGAGATTGAAAAGGGCACTTATGAGAATGGAAAATGAACACTTATTGCAAAGAATAATGTGAACTTGTCGAAGGATAAGGGGCACTTATCGGAGGTGAGATGGGGAAGGGGCACTTTTACAAATTAATAGGGGAACTTGTCAAAGTAATATGGCACTTTACCTATGTGAAACGAACATAAAAGAGGCATTTAGGGGGTACTTGAAAAAGTGGGGGAGGGGGGGGGGGGCACTGACCCCTCCCCCCTGGCTAACAACATATCTCCGCCACTTGTTATGAGGTTTATAATACCAAGGTTTTGATACCCAGTCGCAGCTCCAGCAGTTCATTGAAGAGGCTAAGTAGAACTTCATAGTCCATACTGTACATGTATGTCTGTTGAATGAAAAGAGAAGAGAATGAAAGTAAAACATTGATACCTACATCATACATGTATCTCTGTTGTAACATAAAAAATGTCTTGCATGTACATTGTAGGCCTAGGCAGGGGTGTCGATTTGTATCCGTTATTGGGGGGATGATAGGTGCCAAAATATTTTCGGCAATGGATCAAAGCACCCAAGAGGTAGAAGCGTGTGGGAGGTTGCACCCCCTCCCTTCCAAGTTATTAACTTTTTCAATTCACCCTCAATAAAGATAACATTTCAGAGAATATAAGAGTGGTAATAAAATTAATAACATGCTGAATGTTAGTCCTGACTCTTGCCTGCAGTGTAGGCCTACCCAGGGGCGTCGCTAGACTTTTTTCAGTGGGTGGGGGGGGGGGGGGTGTGAGGCCAACGATTACCGACAAAACTATCCACCAATTAACGACAAAATTAAATGTCCCAATATCTACAAATTTAAATTTAGTATTGTAGTTCTTGGGTAGAATATGAATATGCCCATATGGGTAACACATGGGGAAAATCTGGGTTAACCAGAATTCAATTTATTCTTGTCTCATATACGGTTGTCTCATTTACTTCCTTTTCTATTTATATTATGTATGTATTATGAAAATGAGATAGCAAAATGTGTATATTGATGGTCATCTTGCGAGTAATAACCGTTGACTACTCTCATCGGGCTCTACCGTTATCATCAATTTTTCTCGTGAATTATTCCCCCCGGGATCGACACCCATGGCATGGGCCTAGGCCTCAAATTTTCTCATGTGGAATCATACATAGCCATCCCGGCCATTAATACATACTGCTCAAACCAGCCCTTCGCATCCCCTCCAGCTTGGCCTTGACCTCACTCATTTCAAAATGTTGTTTTGCTTGAAAAAACTAAACAGATCAAGTTAGATCAAAAGTAAATATGTTTACCTTCTCTTGTGGTGGTCTGTTTTCTCCAGGACATTCTTGTTTCAACACATACTCCAAGAAAGCAAGCATTTGGTACTGCATTAACTGCGACAAGTCTCTGTACATTCTCCTGTAAAAGAGAGGGGGGGGGGGGGGGGAGGGAATTTAATTCTTAGAATAAAAGGAAATGAGCATGATCATTTAAACATTGATGAGCATTTGCAGAATTAACTGTTCTATTTTAATTTGGATTTTCTCTTTACCAAAAAAGCCCTCCTTCATTATCTAACATTGAAATTTATATTCAATTTCTTGATCCAGATCTAGTTGATCTACAGTCTCTAGATGATCTAGATCCATGTCTCGTAACTGTTCATTCTATCAAATTAAAAAAAACCAAAATAGATATGGACCTAGATCTATATATGACAGAGAAAACTTAATCGTGTTTACAGCAAACAAAAATTCAAAGATAGAGCCTAGAGTAGAGGCAAATTAGTCTAAGCCAACAAAGAGTTTAAGAAACACAAGGCACCAGTGGAGTCGGGCTAACTCGCCCCACGGGACATCTCGCCCCTGCCTCAAAGACTGGGGCGAGATGTCCCGACATGATTCATCGATCGAGAGATACCAATGCAATGCAATTGTGCTCATTGTGACTTAATAATGCCATTTCCAACAATTTACTCACAGCTCGCAATTCACATTGCCGCACGTACATTAAATGTGCGTTGTATCGACACGGACCACTGAAATTTGAGCAGTGTTTTTGAGTAAGATTGTAAGATTTTATTGACTCTATCGACCCCCTCTCGGGGTATGAGAGTACAAACATATTTACAACATAGTATCAATATAACAATAGTATAACAATGATAAACATGTGATAACATGAAAATTGATAAACATAATAAGATAATATAAACAAAGACAAACATGTGATAATATGAACAATAATAAACATGTGATAATACATCGAGTAAATTGTCCGAAATGCCATTTTTTTGTCATTTTACCTATTAAGAGAAGTTAAAGATTGTCTTCAATAGTATCATTTAACACAATTCCATTACAGATTGTGGTTGGAAATGGCAGTATTAAGTCACAATGAGCATGGTATCTCTCAATCGATGAATCATGTCGGGACATCTCGCCCCAGTCTTTGAGGCAGGCACGGATCTCAGGGTGGCCGAGCAGGCCTTGGCCCTCCCCCCCCCCCCCACCCGCAAAAAAAAGAAAAAAAGAGCTGTAAACTCTCCCCCTCCCCCCATCAAAAAATAAAAGAGAAGGAAGGAAAGGGAAAGAAAAAAATTAAGAGGGGATAAAGGGAAGGAAAAAAGAGGAAGAAGAAAAGAAGGGGGATATCAGTTGCAATTTTCCCGCCAACAAGTTGTAGTTCGGGGGGGGGGGGGGGGGGGGGGGGGGGTCGTGGCAAAGGTCGTTGCCTTTATATGCTCATCTGACCGTAATTAAATGCCTATACCCCTGAGCTTCTGGGGGTTCCACCCTTGACCCCTGCAGGTTCTTCGCCCTTAGACACCACGCCTATTTCACAACGCTCTACCTGATCATAAATACCTCCCCCCCCCCCCCACCTACTTAGAGAAACGTTTAGCGGGGCCTGCATGTAAGAGTGGGGTGGTGCAGATTTTTATGTCTACCCCCCCCCCCCCCCCCCGTTTTAGCTCATTTCGCCAGCCGGTGTCACTATCACGTACCAATATTTGGTTTGCATAATTTCAAATTTGGGCCCCCCCCCTAAGAAATCCTGGATCCGCGCCTGTTCACAGGTATTCCAATTATTTACTGGTCTGTAGGCCTAGGCCTCAAATTTTCTACTTTCGTACTCGTCTAGAGGTCTATCTCGGTATATCTGGTTCAAATTTTGGCGCTTGTTCACAACTCGTCTCATGCATGTCAACTGTGACCATGCTTTTTAGTGTTAGCTATTAACTTTCTTCTGACCCAACTATGAAAGTAGTAATTCAACAGTTGGACCTAAAAGTAACAAAAAGCTTGGATCATTGATGCAGCTAGCACCATGCAGTGAAGTGATCTGCCAGCTGCCTGTAGAACCTATACTCGCGTATCTAATTTTCAGAGAGGGTCTCGCCCGAAAGTTTGGCCCAAGGATCAAGGAGTGACTGGCAATCGAGCTGAAATATTTCTCACGACGATAAATAACAAATCAAAAGTTCGAGTGTAGATTACTCCTAAATTCATCAGATATAACCATTTTAAACCACTTCATAATGTACAGTCAAATCTGCAGATTCATATTATCGTTAGATATGTTTATAAATATGATTCAATTTACGAGATTTGAACGTAATTACAGCTGTACTCACCATCAAACTTTCAAAGAAAACCTCGAACTCTCACTCTGTGTGGGTGACGTCATACATTAAATATGCATGCAGCGAAAGTCTTTTCTTCAGATCAGGCAATCGTACATAAAAACTTTCATCACAGATAGAAAATTTCTTATTAAAATAATGAGGATGATTACAGTTATCGATCATTATACCCAAATTTGCATTCAAATAAGAAGGAGAATAGTGATACAGAGACTTATTTACCGCACGTAGGATTTCTGATAAGAATACACAAAGAACACAAAATGGAAAGGTGCCTGGAATAGAGGATAATATGGGCAGTCAAGCTCATGAATATTCATATTATGGGCGTTACCAACCATTGACATTTGCATACACAATCATTATTTAATATATAATGGAAATGCGCTATGGAAATGCGCTTTTCATTATATATTATATAATGGAAATGTACTTTTCATTATATATTATATAATGGAAATACGCCTTTCATTATATATTATATAATTGAAATACGCCTTTCATTATATATTATATAATGGAAATACGCCTTTCATTATATATTATATAATTGAAATGTGCTTTTCATTATATATTATATAATGGAAATACGCTTTTCATTATATATTATATAATGGAAATGGGCTTTTCATTATATATTATATAATGGAAATACGCTTTTCATTATATATTATATAATTGAAATGGCTTTTCATTATATATTATATAATGGAAATGTGCTTTTCATTATATATTATATAATGGAAATACACTTTTCATTATATATTATATAATGGAAATGGCTTTTCATTATATATTATATAATGGAAATACGCTTTTCATTATATATAAATAATGAAAGTGTGAATTGTAATTATTTATAAATAATGGCAATTATATATGAATAATGGAAATACGCTTTTCATTATATATAAATAATGAAAGTGTGAATTGTAATTATTTATAAATAATGAAACGTACTTTGTCATTATTTATAAATAATGAAGTATGAATTTTAATTATTTATAAATAATAAAAATGTGTTAAGAATTATATACAAATAAAAATGTACATTTTCTTGCATTATATGTAAATAATGGTTATTATTTGTTAAATAATGATTATATAACATATAATTTGTCTATATAATTGTTTTACAAACGGCGCCTCATAGAATTGGACATATTTCGAAATACTGACAGCTGCAAACTGTAGTGTTTTATTATAATGAACTCCGAAATAAGACGACACACTTTCAAGAAGTAACATAAAGATTGAGTATTTCGTCAGGAAGATGCGAACTCTTTATTTTGAGTCCCATCACTTGGAAAATGATGTATAATGGTACTACCACAGGAACATCAACACAAATGTTTCATTGGGGGAGGAAGCGCATTGTAAGTCCTATTCCTTGTTTTCTCTTAAAGGAGAACTAACTTAAAAAAACATTTATCTATGACCAAATAGACAATTCTGAGTTCTTTCTGGAAAGCCAAGGACAGGCGCAGATCCAAGATTTCTTAGGGGGGGGGGGGGCCCAAATTTGAAATTATGCGAGCCAAATATTGGTACGTAATGGTGACCAGCATTGGCGTAATGGGGGGGGGGGGGGGGGGCAGGGAGGGGCGATTTCCCCCTTCCTCCTCCGCAAAGCGCCGAAGCTTTGAAGTTTCATTAAATTATTTGAGAAAGAAGACGATTCGTTGTACCGTTCTCGAACATATTCCTCGTCTGAATTTAGTCCCCCCCCCCCCCGCGCCAAGCGCGGAATCTTTTACGTTTCATAAAATCATTAGAGAGAGAAGACGATTCATTGTACCGTTCTCGACTCTTAATCCTCGTCTGAATTTAGTCCCCCCCCCCCCCTCCCGCGCCAAGCGCGGAATCTTTTACGTTTCATAAAATCATTAGAGAGAGAAGACGATTCATTGTACCGTTCTCGACTCTTAATCCTCGTCTGAATTCAGTTCCCCCCTCCCCTCCCGCGCGAAGCGCGGAAGTTTTTACGTTTCATTAAATCATTAGAGAAAGAAGACGATTCGTTGTACCGTCCTCGACTTTTCATCCTCATCTGAATTCAGTTTTCCCCTCCCCCCCCCCCTCCCGCACGAAGCACTGAAGCTTTTACGTTTTTATTAAATCATTAGAGAAAGAAGACTATTCGTTATACCGTCCTCGACTTTTCATCCTCATCTGAATTCAGTTTTCCCTCCCCCCCCCCCTCCCGCACGAAGCGCTGAGGCTTTTACGTTTTTATTAAATCGTTAGAGAAAGAAGACGATTCGTTGTACCGTTCTCGACTTTTAATCCTTATCTGAATTCAGTTTTTCCCTTCCCCCTCCCGCGCGAAGCGCCTAAGCTTTTCCGTTTCATTAAATCATTAGAGAAAGAAGAAGATTCGTTGCACCGTTCTCGACTCTTAATTTTTTTAAAAAGGGGGTGGGGTTTTTCTCTCTCTCTTTAGACTCCTGAGAAATGTAAAAAGGAGGTTATAAAATATCTTGAATATCATAGAAAAATTGATCAAATCCCGGGATCAAATTCCTGAAATTCCTGCTAGCTTTGAAAGCTCATTCAGGATTATTTCATTTTGAAAAGTAAAAACATTGGCCCCCAGCCCCCCCCCCCTCGATCGACTAGAGCTCACCTGAAATTGGGGGGGGGGGGTGGTACATTTAGCAGTGTTCCGCACTTTACGTCTGGGCTATAATAATACCTTGCAAAATAACGAAAAATTATTTTGAAGTTTATGAAGTGCTTGTTCGCGCACGTCGCGCAACTACTCTTAATGATCGTGACATACTGTATACGTGTAGGCTATACAGTTATACATACATAAATATCTTCTGCATCCCCCCATCCCCCCAGGATTTACGCCCCTGGTAGTCATGCTTTTAAGTCAAGTTTTGCTTAATTTGTCAACCCTCCTGTTTGATGTTTGCGATGAGTTACAGCCAGTCTTACTTTATTCTACATTATATTCTTTTGTTATGATTTTGTAAAAATTTGCAATGTTTTGTTTGTTACATATTTGTAAAATTGCAAAAGAAAAAGAAAATCAAACAAAATAAAATAAATCAATTCAAATAAAATCAAGAGCAAGGATGGATGATAGGGAGGTCATTCCGTCGCTGACCAAAGACTTGGTAGTAACTAAATTTCCGGGAGGTGCAGTCCCACCCCCCCCCCCCCCCCCCCCCCCCCCTCTCCCGGAAGAAAGAAGGAAAGAAAAATCTCGTCTCAAAATGAACGAACCACTTCTGGAGCCTCTAGCTTCCCCTCTACCTTTCCTTTCTCCTTCTCTTTTTCGGTTTGTGTGATGCTTATGTCTGCGACATTCAGTTTGTGAGTTTTGAAGGTATAAGTGTATGCTTGGGGGGGGGGGGGGGGGGGGGGGGGGGGGGGGGGGAGGTAAGAAATATATAGGAGTAATTTCAATTAAATATGAATGTTATCATTGTATTCTTCATCGTTATTATATATCTACGGAAGCGTTAAAGTGCCATTCTACTTGACGACATGACGAGATATTCCATCTTGTCAAGTTGACTTAATATTCATATCATGTCGACATGTAAAAATATTTAACTTACCATGTCGACTTATCAACTTTTATTAGTCGACATGGCGAAATAAATTATCTTGCCAAGTCGACTTCAGAAAAAGTTCATGTTGTCATGGCGACATAAGTTATCTTACCAAGTCGACTTCTAAAAAAATACATGTCGTCATGGCGACATATATTATCTTACCAAGTCGACTACCAAAAAAGTAATGTCGACATGGCGAAATAAATTATCTTGCCAAGTCGACTTCACAAAAAGTTCATGTCGTCATGGCGACATGTATTATCTTGCCAAGTCGACTTCACAAAAAAGTTCGTCTCGTAATAGCGACATAAATTATTTCACCAAGTCGACTTCCCAAAAAGTATATGTTGTCATGGCGAGATATGTAGTGTGACGACTATTTCATGCAGCGCGCGTATGACGGGCGGATCGTGCCATATAGATGACAACTATACAACTACACATCCATCGAATGGATGTAAGGTTTTAACTAATCAGAACGCAGGAAACTGTACAACTATACAACTATACAACTATACGACTATGACGGGAGATCCAATATTATTTAGTACTAGTAGGCCTATAAGATCAATTTTTATTTTTATTTATTCCATCATTGCATTGCTATGTTCAGCATTCAATGGCTTTAGAGGCATAAGTGTCGGCTAAATTCAGACATTCTCGCCGCCATGGCTGTATAGTTTCCTGCATTATGGTTGGTTAAAACCGTACAGCCATAAAACTATACAGACATTCTCGCCGCCATGGCTGTATAGTTTCCTGCATTGTGATTGGTTAAGACCGTACAGCCATAAAACTATACAGACATTCTCGCCGCCATGGCTGTATAGTTTCCTGCATTGTGATTGGTTAAGACCGTACATCCATAAAACTATACAGACATTCTCGCCGCCATGGCTGTATAGTTTCCTGCATTGTGATTGGTTAAATCCGTACAGCCATAGAGCTGAATGGATGTATGGTTGTTCGCAATTATGGCATTTCGGCCCGCAAACGTAACAACCGTACATGCGTTCTATAGCTGTATGGTTGCATAGTTGTATAGTTGTATAGTTGTACAGTTTCCTGCGTTCTGATTGGTTAAAACCTTACATCCATTCGATGGATGTATAGTTGTATAGTAAGTCATCTTTATGGCACGATCCGCCCGTCATACGCGCGCTGCATGAAATAGTCGTCACACTACATATCTAGCCATGACGACATATACTTTTTGGGAAGTCGACTTGGTGAAATAATTTATGTCGCTATTACGAGATGAACTTTTTTGTGAAGTCGACTTGGCAAGATAATACATGTCGCCATGACGACATGAACTTTTTGTGAAGTCGACTTGGCAAGATAATTTATTTTGCCATGACGACATGTATTTTTCTGAAGTCGACTTGGCAAGATAATTTATTTCGCCATGTCGACTAATAAAAGTTGATAAGTCGACATGGTAGGTTAAATATCTTTACATGTCGACATGATATGGATATTAAGTCGACTTGACAAGATGAAATATCTCGTCATGTCGTCAAGTAGAATGGCACTTTAACGCTTCCGTATATATCCTTTATGTTTATATATTTTTATTTTGGTTGAGATGCACATTTATATATGTATAGTTATGTATAAAAAGGTAAATTCCATGGTCGAGTATTTTTTTAAATAAAATTATAATGACATTTACATTCATTGTATGCATTTCGTTTAATTGTGGTATTTTGATCCTACATGTATATATATTTTGAATAAAATATTAGTTGATAACAAAAAACGATGTTTATTCTGGTAGCAGCCATGAGCTCCGATCTAGATTTGCATTTA